GATCCAGATCCGGTTGTTTTGTTGTAATCCGCTTTCCCTTGCAAAAAACACTAAACATGAAATTTCTTGTTCTAACATATCCAAACTTCAAGAATCCCTTGCAAAAAATAAGGTAAAGTGGACATTCGCGCGCGCAAGACGAAATCCTTCCAAAACCTTAGTTTTCGTAGCGATTTTAACATAAAAACATCAAAAAACCAATGGTTTTTCAAAAAAAAATGTCGAAATTTCATCCGCGCGCTCTTGCGGATTCGTAGGAAACCCAACACTTTTTAAACATTTCTGTCAAACGGGCTTTTGCGAACAACTTTTTCGAACTTCTGCAACAACGGTTGCGCACCTGCCAGGGCCATCATCCCTGTCAAATAATACCATGCGGGACACATTCGTTTTTTCTTCGCGCGCGCACGCCGTCGTCGTCGGCCGCGGGGCCCTGAATAGTAGCCACGGTCGTCCGCATGCCACGAAGTGAAGTGTCCGAACGTCATAGGGCGGGAAGCTGGGTGTGGGTGGTGGCGAAGAGTCGTTTGGAAATTTGGTAGAGCTTGAACCGGCCCCCCCACAAAGTGGGGGTATTGCCCGCCTCCTATGAAAACCCTGGCACTGGTGAGAACGGAGTGTCCCCACGTGCTAGTAATTGTTGTTGTTGTTGTTGTTGTTGTTGTTGTTGTTGTTGTTGAAGAAGAAGAAGAAAACCAATACATGTTCAAGCCATGTTTTATTGTTGATTCGCGGAAACGGTTCCGCGCGCTCTTGCTTCGAAGCCGGCTACATTTTCTCTGAAAACGAGGCTCCTGCTCGAGTGTTGGCTTGAGCCTAAGTGTGGGCCCTTGGAGGCCCAGCTACGACAACAACGGCTCCCGCTCGATACTTCCTCACAGTTTACCCCGAGACCCTGGCCAGAGAGGCCCCCGAACTCAGGAACGGCACTCTCGCTCGAGACTTCCTCGCAATTTAATTAAGTTGGCGGAGGCGTAGCCACGACGACAAGGGCTCCTGCTCGATGCTTCCTCACGATTTACTCCGAGAGTCCCTGGCCAAGGCGGCCCCCGAACTCAGGAACGGCGGTCTCGCTCGAGACTTTCCCGTAATTGAAGCAAGTTGGTGGATGCCCGGACACGGCGACAAGGGCTCCCGTTCGATATTTGTCCATGGGTATTCCGAGAGCCCCTGGCCAGAGAGGCCCCCGAATTCAAGAACGGCGCTCTCGCTCGAGTCTTCTTCGCGCTTCAGTCAGTGGCCGACAATGAAGAGATTCCCCCCGAAAGGGGGAGCAATCGAAGACGAAGTGGGCGGGTTCCGAGGGTTTGGGTATACGGAATGCAAGACACGCGTGCCAGTAAGAGCGAACAGTCTCAAAGTTATTGCCCCCTCTGGCGCACATTGTTTTGTCAGTCAAAATGCCCCTCCCGGCGCTCGCACCTTCTTCTTTATCAGGGAAGGTTATCCTCCTCAAACTTTGTTGTTGGCCCCCGGGTTACAACAACAACGGCTCTCGCCTGAGGCTTCCTCACAATTTAGCCAGGACCCCCGCTCACGCCCGAGACTTCCTCGCATTTTATTCAGGAATCGCGCTCTCGCTTGGGACATCCTTGCAATTTATTCAGGAATCGCTCTCTCGGCGCTCTGGAGTCGCGTTCTCGCTGGAGACTTTCTTGCAATTTACACAAGAGTAGCGCCCTTGCATTGGAATTTCCCGCAATTTATTCAAGAGCCGCGCTCCCGACACTCAGGCACCCAGAAATCGAGCTCACGCTTAGGACTCCCTCCCAGATTAGTCCTCCGTGGCCCCCTCGCAGCCCTTCGTGGCCCACTCGCTTTGTTTCGTGGCCCCGTTGCAGCCCTTTGTGGCCCCCTCGCTTTGTTTCGTGGCCCCGTTGCAGCCCTTCGTGGCCCCTCGCTGCGCTTCGTGGCCCCGTTGCAGCCCTTCGTGGCCCCCTCGCTGCCCTTCGTGGTCTCGCTGTCGCCCATCGTGGCCCCCTCGCTGCCCTTCGTGGCCCCCTCGCAGCCCTTCGTGGCCCCCCAGCTTTGTTTCGTGGCCCCGTTGCAGCCCTTTGTGTCCCCCTCGCTTTGTTTCGTGGCCCCGTTGCAGCCCTTCGTGGCCCCCTCGCTTTGTTTCGTGGCCCCGTTGCAGCCTTTCGTGGCTCCCTCGCTGCCCGTCGTGGCCTCATATATGTATGCCCTTCGTGGCCCCCGCTCGTCCGCGCCCGTCGTGGCCCCACATGCATGCACTTCGTGGCCCCGCTGTCGCCCTTCGTGGCCCCCTCGCTGCCCTTCGTGGCCCCGTTGCTGCCCTAGTGGCCCCGTCCTTGCCCTTCGCGGCCCAATATACGTATGCCCTTCGTGGCCCCCGCTCGTTCGCGCCCGTCGTGGCCCCATGTGCATGCCCTTCGTGGCCCCGCTGTTGCCCATTGTGGCCCCCTCGTTGTCCTACGTGGCCTAGTAGCTACCGTCAGTGGCCCCGTCGTTGCCTTCTGTGGCCCCATTATCTGCCCTTCGCCCCCGCTCGTTCGCGCTTTTCGTGGCCCCATACGCATTCCCTTCGTGTCCCCGCTGTCGCCCTTTGTGGCCTACTTCGTGCTCTTCGTGGCCCTTCCGTCGTTCTTTCTCTCGCTCTCGCTTTCGCGCGTCGTCGTCGTCGCCGTCGTCGTCGTCAACGTCGTCGTCGTCGTCGTCGTCGTCGTCGTCGTCGTGGTCGGTCCCCTGTCCGTCCCTCTTGGGGTCGGGTTGCCGCCGATCCGCGCTGCCGCTGGCCAGGCCGACGGTCCGCGGCCGCCCCGCCGCTTTCCCGGGCCCGGCCCGCAGGGAAGAAAGGTGTACCCCCCAAAAGTGGTACGATCGAAGACGAAGAGGGCGGGTATCGAGGGCTTGGGAAATACGCATTAACGGACACTCGAGCAGATGAGAGCGAACAATCTTACAATGATTAGTGTTGTTGTTGTTGTTGTTGTTGTTGAACATTATTAATTCTAAAGAATAATTATTGTTGGGGCCCCTGGTGCACGGCCCCCCTGCGCCGCCTAGGCCGCAGCTACATTTTCATCATTTTCGTGAGGAAGCCTCAGGTAATTCGATGTGATCAAGATCCGGTTGTTTTGTTCCCCCCGCTTTCCCTTGCAAAAAACACTATAAAATGACATTTCTTGTTCTAATATAATCAAATTTCAAGAATCCCTTGCAAAAAATAAGGTAAAGTGGACATTCGCGCGCGCAAGACGAAATCCTTCCAAAAGCTTAGTGTTCGGAGCGATTTTAACATAAAAACATCAAAAAACCAATGGTTTTTCAACAAAAAAATGTCAAAATCTCATCCCGCGCGCTCTTGCGGATTCGTAGGAAACCCAACACTTTTTAAACATTTCTGTCAAACGGGCTTTTGCGAGCAACTTTTTCGAACTTCTGCGACAACGGTTGCGCACCTGCCAGGGCCATCATCCCTGTCAAATAATACCATGCGGGACACATTCGTTTTTTCTTCGCGCGCGCACGCCGAAATCTCCAAAAACCATTGGGCTTCTTAAGAATTTTAGCACCGCGCATCATAAAATCACACGAATCGCACCGTAGGTCCTCGAAAAACACCTGCACGACTTTTCAAAATTTCTACCCGCGCGCGCTGTCCGAATCCTAAAAAAACCAATGGTTTTCCAACATTTATGTTACATGAGCTCGCGCGAGCTACTTTCGCACGCTCTTGCAACGGGGTTCGCGCGCCTGCCAGGGGCCACAATCCCTTGCGGTTGCGCCATAGGTTGCGCCCTCGGATGTTCTGTGGAAGGCTTAACAACTTCTGTGGGTTAACAAGGCTTAAGAACTTCTGTGGGTGTACGAACGTAGGCTTAACAACTTCTGTGGGTGTGTACTCCACGCCAGTGTAGTAGCCACGGTCGTCCGCAGGCCACGAAGTGAAGTGTCCGAACGTCATAGGGCGGGAAGCTGGGTGTGGGTGGTGGCGAAGAGTCGTGTGGATATTTGGTAGAGCTTGCACTGCCCCCCCACAAAGTGGGGGTATTGGCTGGCGTCGCATGAAAACCCTGGCACTGGTGAGAACACTGAGCGTTCGGGTAAAGTGATTGTTGTTGTTGTTGTTGTTGTTGTTGTTGTTGTTGTTGTTGTTGTTGTTGTTGTTGTTGTTGTTGTTGTTGTTGCTGCTGCTGCTGCTGCTGCTGCTGCTGCTGCTGCTGTTTTTTTGTTGTGTGTGTGGGTGTTCTCCCTGATGAAGTTGTTGTATTTGGCTGTTTGTACCCCCCCTCCAGGACGCCTCTCTGGGACGTGGCATCGGCTGGTCCAAAGAGTAACTCGTCAGGGAAAATCGCCCAACAACGGCTCCGGAGGGGGGGCGAAATTGTTAACCCCAGGTGCGGCGAGGGGGCGGGATCGCCCCTACTACCCTCACTAAAATAAGCCTCGAAGCGCGTCACGTGCGAAGTGCCTGTCGGCGCCCACTTTCCAATGCCGGTTGTCGTGGAACTTCCGAGTCGCGCCGGCCCAGACCGCCTTTCGGTTTGCCTCGAAATTGAAGTGGGCGACTCTGAAGGGGCGAAAGGAAGCGACTCTGAAGGGGTGTGCCACCAACTTTTGAGGTTCATGTTGTCGAGGGTTGTCGAACAAATCAAGAAATCTTACCAGACAGTAGAGAAGCATTCTGCGCCCCAACGTGTGCAAGGCACGATGGTGGATGGCCGCATAAGTACCCGTGGGCATGCACATCGGTTCATGATTAGCTATTTCGCGCAGTCGTACAAGCATTCACGTGCGAGCTCGCGCATATATTTATAAACATGCATGATTTCTTTCCTGCATGCTTACGCGCATGCGCACAATCTGTTCTCGCGCCTCCGTACACGGACACCCGTGCAGCAGTCCACGCGTTCCCAGTCAGCTTAGGAGTCGTCGTGCTTCGGCCGACGAGTCCTTTTGGAGTGTTTGTCATCGGAGTCGAAATTTCGACATTCACACCTGTGCGCGTCGCAGAAGGCCGTGGGGAGGGGCGCGTCCAGGGACCGTGGTCGTGGCCGCCGCGGCGGTCCTCGTCAGCAGCTTCTGGGCCAGCAGCATAGCGCCTCGGACTCCCGTGACGTCTTGCGAGTCGCAGTGTTCTGCTATGAAGGCAAGGGGTCCTGAGGGAGTCTGATCCTAGGCCCCAGGGCTTGTCCCAGGACCAGCATTTTTTCCCCTCCCGAACCCTCCTTGGCTGGGTTCTCGTCTTGACTAGAGCCGTGCGGCCGCGTCGCCTTCTCTTCATCCCCCCTCCCTCGTGCCTTCTCCGCTGCTCCCTGGGTGGCCGCGAAGTGTGCAACCGTCGCCACTTGTGGTGGGCTTCTGGGAGGCACGGCGGAGTACAGTCGAGGCGCTGAAGAGGGAACCCTTTTCGTTTGGGAGGGGCTCGGTGTTCCTTGACTGTTTCACAGCTTGCCTCAGGTTATCCTCATGTTTTCGATGGGAAATCGAAGTTTAACTTGTGGAAAAAAGGGGCCTCGTTCCTTCTTTAGGGTTCCTTAGGTCAACGCCCCGACTGCAGGGGAGTACCCGAGACCTCGCGGCTCTGTGGTTGGCTGCGCACTGCGCAATCGTCGCCATTTTCGCAGGCTCCCGGGAGGCACCGCGGCGAAGCAGCGGAGTGCCCGAGATCTCTCGCAGCTCCTGGGGATGCTGAGAACTGTGCAGCCGTCGCCAATGTCGTGGGCTCCTGGGAGGCACGGTGGAGTAGCGGAGCACCCGAGACCTCGCAGCTCCCTGGGGAGCTGCGAACTGCGCAACTGCCGCTTTTGTGGGTTCTTGGGGGACACGGCGGAGCAGCGGAGCGGCGCCATGGGGCCGCCCGGCCGTGCAGGTATCCTTCCCAAGCAATCTTCCAGCAGGACTCCATGGGAGTCTACAGACCTCAGGCAGGCCTATGACAGATATCAATCGCTCCAGAGCGATGCGGAACGCTCTCAGAGCGTTCAGGAGCGCTCTGGAACCGTCGTGGCGCCCGACACATTCTTCAATCCTTCCAGCTCCCCGAGATTTCTGCGTCTTGTCCTGGTTTCATTTTGAGGGCCTCCATGAGCTTTCGGTCTCAGCGCACGAATGGTACTGCAACGTGAAGCGTTTCTTTGTGCGGGCTGCCTGTCCAGAGCGGGCTGGATATTTTCATCCCAGGGCGAATCACGTGCGCACGTGCGTGGAATACCTGACCGGTCCAGGGGTCGGGAGGCCGAAGCGATGCACTTACGCTGATGGGTGATCTGATATTTGTATTGCTGGTCTTACTCGTGGGCACTGAACTAAGGTCAGCATCGCAGAGATGAATGTGCTGATCCAGGTGGCCCTTCCCTTGTTTGCTCATTTTCTTTCGTAAGAACGTGCTGCGGTAGTGTCCCTGGGAGCACTTGGAATTTGTTGACGTTGGCGAGGCATGAGCGGACGATGGTCGTAGCTGGCAGCAGAATCGGCGAAAGACGCAATCGGCCGAGGCTTCCCGAGGCCAGGTTTAATCTGGACTGCCTACGGCGAAGACGCCTACGGCGAGCCACTGTCGCCCCCTGCCTTTGGCAAACGCGCCTACGAGCTGTTGCACTATGTGTTTCCCCAGCCGTTGTGCAAACCTGTGGGGAACACTGGGGGGGAGAGACAGAAAGAGAGAGAGAGTGAGAGAGAGAGAGAAAGAGTGAGAGAGATGAAGGTGGTGGTGATGATGATGATGATGATGATGATGATGATGATGCTGATGAGGATGATGATGATGATGATGACGATGACGATGACGATGACGAGTAGGATGAGGATGATGATGGCGATGACGATGACGATGATGATGCTGCTGATGATGATGACGATGATACTTATGATGATGATGCTGCTGCTGATTATGATGATGACGATGATGATATTGATGACGATTACGATGACGATGATGAGGATGATGGTGATGATGATGCCCATGATGATGATGACGATGATGATGATGATGATGATGATGATGATGATGATGATGATGATGATCATGATGATAATGCTGATGATGCTGCTGCTGATGATGACGATGGTGATGTCGATGATGTTGCTGCAGCTGCTGCTGCTGCTGCTGCTGCTGATGATGATGATGATGATGATGATGATGATGATGGTGATGATGAGTAGGAGGAGGAGGAGCAGGATGAGGAGGAGGAGAAGGAGGAGGAGAAGGAGGAGGAGGAGGAGGCGTTGCAGGAGGAGGACGAGGAGGATCGGATCGGACTTGTATTCAGAGCTGGTTTGTTTGCCATGCTTGCCGCGGCTTGCCTGGCCTTACGCACTTGGAGGGGACATGAGCACCGAGGCATCCCGATGATCTCGACCTGGGATTGATGCATGCTTCTTTGAACCGCTTCCTGTTGGTAAACAGAGTCTGGGAGACGATCTTTGAGCTCCTCTGGATGAGTGGGGTGGTGTTGGGAGCTTACCTCCTTACCAGATCTCGGCCAGGCGGGACTTGACGCTGAGCAATTTTTCTAGGACCTCGTCGACGTAGATGGA